GGCCGCGCCGAGCGCCGCCGCCGCCCCGGAGGCCCGGCCGGTCCGAGAAGGCCGCGCGCCCGAGGCCGGAGCCATGGGCGAGACGAAGATCATCTACCACCTGGACGGGCAGGAGACGCCGTACCTGGTGAAGCTGCCCCTGCCCGCCGAGCGCGTCACCCTGGCGGACTTTAAGGGCGTCCTGCAGCGCCCCAGCTATAAGTTCTTCTTCAAGTCTATGGACGACGACTTCGGGTGAGGACGGCCCCCACCTCGCCTGGGGCCCGACCCTCCGGCTCCCAGGGGCGGCGGCGGCCGGTGTGGACTCCCCTCGTGGCACCGCCTCGAAGTCCCACTGGGGCTCCGGGGCCGCTCGGCCCACTGGGCCCTTGGCGTTCCTGGAGACAGAGGTTCCAGACCCTCCAGGGACTCCCCGTTTGCCTCTAGAGGGAAACCTGGTCCCCCCAGTTTAGGGGACGTCCCCAGAGCACAGTCCCTGTCTGCCCCGCAGAGACGGACACACCCCCACCCGGTTCCTAGCGGGAGTCCCCGACCCTCCTCCAGGGGAGCCGCCGTCCTAGCACAGACTTGGGGTGTCGGGCACTCGGCCTTTCCGTCCTCATCTTTTCAGCCCCACAACCCCGAAGTGGGCTGTCTGCTGTTCCCCAGGAAGCAGAGCCCTGCGCCCCCAGGAGCTCAGGATCCCAGGTGCGGATTCTCCCTGCCAGTGGGGCCTCTTCCTCCAGATGGTGGCCGGGGAGACGCGGCCCGGCCGGGAGGGCCAGGAAGAGCCCCGGTGTTGTGCCCGCCCCGCTCTCCGGGGTCTCACCCTCCGCCCAGCTGCCGGCTCCGACCCGCGAGTGTGGAGGCAGACTTCCCCTTTAAGAGGGGATGGAATGTTGGAGCCGGAAGGTTCTGTAGCAGCTGGCCTGGGAGGGGCAGCCCGGCCGTCCCCCCCAGGGGACTGGGGCCGCGGGAGGCCCCCACACTCCTGCCCCAGACTAGCTGGGCGCTGGGCCTGGAGGCTGTGGGGAAGGCCTCATCTGGCCCCGAGGACTGGCGGCCGAGCCCTGGCCCTAATTTGAGGCCTGTGCTGCTCTTTGGAGCTGAGTGAGGGGAGACATTCTTGTCCCCAGTGTTCATCGCGCGGCCTCTCCCGGGCGGCCCTCCTAGCCCCAGCAAGCAAGCACCTCCTGCTTTCTGCCTGGCCAGCAGGGTTGGCAGGAGTGCAAAGGTGCAGGGACGGTGAACGGTGGGTGCTCACTATTGTCCTTGTCGCTGCTGCCCTGGGGTGGGTTTCTCCTGGTGTGACCACAGACTTCCAACTGGAAGGCTCTGAAGAGGGATGATTTGGAAAGGGTAGGGTGAGGGACTGGGTCCTTGGCCTAGCAAGAGAAGAACAGGGCTAGAAGGGACCAGGATACCACCTCAAGATCCGGGATGGGTGGGAGATCAGCTGGAGCCCCTTGTGCTGGGGCACTTGGGGCCTGATGCCGGGAGGGACCACCCCGCACACACTTATTGCTGGGCCCACCAGGCCTTGCCCCCGTTTCCTAAGCCTCGGGTTCTGGGGGCTGCCTCCCCCCCTCCGAGTGCTGCTGGGCCAGATGGAGCTGGTGGTAAGAGGCCCCCAGCGCATGTGCTCACCTGTAAATTCACTGTCGGCCCACTCATTCTTCTTAGCTTGATCAAGCCAATAATGGGAAGTTACAGACTGGTTTTCTGTTTCTTCCTAGAGTAAATTAAAAATAGATATTGAAAAAAATAGGTATTGAACTAAGCAGTATTTATTTCCGTACTGTCTTGCATACATCAATGGTATTGGAGCCAGCTTTTGCAAAATATTAAGAGTTGAAATTCTAGCAAAGTTGAGGCTCATGCTAAAAATGAAGTGGAGGAGGATTTTGTTCCCCAGAAAAATAAATGAGCAGGACAAGCTTGTCAAAGAGGACTAATAGCTGAGGAGCTTGTATGTATATTTCATTTATTTAACCGTTTTATGGTGCTTATACTGTGCCAGGCATTGATCTAAATGCTTTTCTTTTTTTTTTTTTTTCCTTTGGAAAGGTTTTTGCTATAGGGCGTATGCGCTGGCCAGAAAGTCAAAGACAGAAAGCGAGAAATCACCCCCCAACGGCCACGCTGCAATCCCTTTTCCTCCATTCTCCTATTGGGATCTTGGGCACGCACGCACATGCACCCAGCATGAGTTTAAGCCAGTCCGAGACTCGAACCATGGCCAGCTACATGGGAGTCCAGCGACATAGCCATTATGCTAACTGCTGGCCCCCTAAATGCTTTCAAATCTTTACTCGTTCCGCCCTCACAGTTGCTCCGTGGAGTAGGTAGTAATACCCCAGTCTGCAAATGAAGAAGCAGACCACAGGGAGCTTAAGGCACTTGCCCACACAGTAAGTGGCAGAGCTTGTCTTGATGTCAGGGATCTGGCTCCGAAGTCGAAATCCCCAACCACACACTTCTTGCTGTTGTTACCCCGTTTTCTGCCATCCTCTCTGAGGGAGAGGGTAAGCCCTGGCAGACAGTAGAGCTGACGGCTGTCAGAGGAGGAAGGCTGCTGTCTCTGCAGGCTCACCGCTGAGGTTCTGGTTGGGAGGCCTGCGGATGCCCCAACTCCCATCTGGTGTCCAGGAGTATTTGCCAAGCGCAGATAGGCCCAGCGCTCTTAAGTTATTTGGGAAGCATAGGAAGGAGAGCCGTTGTCAGCACTGAGGAGATGGTGGAAGAACAAGCTTCCCCTGCTAGCCGGGCCTGGAGCTCCAGGAAGGGCAACGCAGTAAGTTAGCTCACTAGCATGGCTTCCCGCTCTGGCACACGCTGTCCTCTACTCCTTCTGCCTGGGGCACTCTTTCTGTCTCCTCCAGATGCAAACTCCCCTCTCCTCCCTTTGAGCTTTTCCGTGAGAGCTGTCATGGCACTTTCGCCTCTTCACCCGTGTGTGCCTGCCTGCTGTAGCCAGGCCCTGTCCCCTGAGTGACACTCAGCTGAGGTCTATGCGGTGAGCACACCGCTGCCCTAGCAGCTCTGACCACCCTGGGCCACAGTGTGCTCCCTGGATCCCAACCTCTCCGAGCAAAAGGCCAACTCTCGGTCTGATGCTTTAGAGGGGCTGGTTCATACAGTGGCAAGCCCAGGGATGTGTGCGCACCAGAAAGAGACAGAGAGCACGAGGAAGTACCCCCCACGGGGCGGCCAGACTCTAATCCTCCTCCAGGTCGTCCCGTCAGGATTTTCAGCACACGTGCACATGTATCCAGCTTGTCCTTCAAGCCTCCAGGGCCGGGATTTGAGCCATGGTCGGCCATGTGGTGTCTGGCTCCCTTACCTCTAGGCTATGGGCCTGCAGTCAAGAAGAGCTTCGTAATGGGATAATGGGATGACCTGAATGATGAGCAAGAGATTCTTTTGGCCCCTGCCTTCAGGAACTTGCGCCTGTTTAGAGAGTGTAGAACACTAAAGTGGTTAAAGTTAGTAACCAGCTTCTTTTTTTTTTTTTCTTAAGAATTATTTTATTGGGCCAGTAGGTGGCGTGGAGGTTGAGGTGCTGGACTCCCACTTGTTAGACCACGGTTCAAGTTCTGGACCTGGTGGCTTGCTTTCTCACTTTCTCTCTCTCGTCAAATTGAAAAATGATAATAATAAATAATAATAATTATTATTATTATTTAAAAGAATTAGTTTATTTAACTTTATTTATTTATTTTAATTTGACCAGAGAGGGACAGAGTGAGGGAGAGAGAGAGAGAAAGCAAGAAAGCAAGCTGCCAGGTCTGGGACCCGAACCATGGTTGACCATATGGGAGTCCAACACCCTTAACCACCATGCCACCTGCCCCAATAATTCTTTTCTTTTTTTAAGAATTATTTTATCTGGGAGGGACCAGCAGTTAGTGTAATAGCTATGTCACTGGACTCCCATGTAGTCAACCGCGGCTCGCATCCCGGACCCGGTGGCTTAATACTCATGCCGGGCGCATGTGCGTGTGTGCCTAAGATCCTGAGAGGAGAATGGAGGAGAAGGGATTGCGGTGTGGCCATCCCCCCTGGGGGGTGACTTCTCGCTTTCTGTCTCTCTGTCTCTCTGTCTGTCTGGCGAGTGCACGCGCCCTATAGCAAAAACCTCTCCACAGGAAAAAAAAAAATTTTATCTGGGACTAGCAGTTAGCGTCATGGCTATGTCACTGAACTCCCACATAGTTGACTGTGGTTCGAGTCCCAGACCCGGTGGCTTAAACTCACACCAGGCATGCGTGCGTGCGTGCGTGCCCAAGATCCTAAGAGGAAAATGGAGAAGGGATTGTGGCATGGCCATCCCCTCTCAGGGGTGATTTCTTGCTTTCTGTCTCTGTCTTTCCAGCGAGCGTACACGCCCTATAGCAAAAACCTCCAGAAAAAAAAAGCAATTATTTAATTTTATCCATTGCCACTATTTTTTTTTTTTAAAGTTGGCCAGAGAGAGAGGAAGAAAGTGAGAAAGTAAGCTACCAGGTCTGGGATTTGAACCACGGTCAGCCATGTGGGAGTCCAGCTGCTCCAACCACCTCACCACCGCTGGCCCCAGTAACTAGCTTTTATTGCATGCCTAGACTTGCTAGGCATTGTACAATCCCGTCACTGGGGCTTGGAAAAGTTAAGACATGCTCTTGACGAGAGGGCTAGTAAGTGGGAGAATGGGAATTTGACCCTGTATCTGGGATTCCACATGGGGTGTATGAGTGCTCCAGGTGGGAGGGTGAGGGCTGTCTGATGTCCCTAAGGCTGCCGAAGATCAGCTGATCGATGTGAGTCAGCAGAGCCTTGGTGACCTGTCAGTGACCCCCAGAAAGAGAGGAAACATCTGTAGTGGAGAGAGCGGTGGGGCCCACTGGGGGTGCAGATGGGAGTCAGCCAGTTTCCCACGCAGGGAGACGCTCCAGAGCAGTCACAGAGTCCGTGCCGTGTGCCCGCACACCTTTTTTCTTTGAGGCCCAGTCCCCATGCCGGGCTGCACACTTGGGGTGTCCTGGGGCCAGGGGTGGCCTGGCCAGTTCTCTGTCCTGTCTTTCCCAGTTCTGTCTCCAGCCTTTCTGCATGGCAGGCCTGAGCAGGACAGTCGGGGCTGCTTTCTTCGGGTCACCGTGGGGTTAGAGCTGGAGGGGAGGGAGGACAGGCTCGGCCTGTGAAGTTGGCTGTGAGTCCAAGAATGTGAGCATCACAAGGAGCCAAGCACGTCCGGCCGGGCTGAGAGGACTGGGCTTCCCTCTCCGCTCAGAACTCACGCCGTGTCGTCTCTTAGCCCTGGTCACGGCGTCAGCTCTACTCCTGGGCAGTTTGACAGTCCTCAGACTTTTCCGTGCCCGTGGCTGGCCCCACACCGTAGTCAGTGTCCGGCTTCTCACCTCCTCACATTCCCCTGGCCAAAACACGGCACGCCCAGGACCACATCCCACAGCCAGTGCCCCACAGCACTGCGCCAGCACCTCCACACCGTCCTGGCTCAGGGAACTGAAATCCGGAGGGCAGGGTGGGAGTCCAGCTCAGACCCTACCAGCTCTGTGACCTTGGAGAAGGGCTGAAGGTTTCCCAGTTCCCCTATTATGACATGAGAGGCACGTTGTCTGCCTAATGAGGCTGCGATAAGATCAGAGAACAGGCTGGAATACCACTACAGTCGGCCGGCCAGATTCCTCCTCCAGCTCTTGACTTTAGGTCATCACTGACTGCGGAGCCTCGTTTCCCCTCTGTACCTTTGCAACAGCGTGGTGGTAATAGGAGCGAGGCGATCACGTCACATACTTACCGGGATGCTTGGCCCAGCATGCGTGCTCCGTAGATGGGAGCAGTTGTTACCATTAATTGTCATAATAGCATGTGGTTTCTCCCCTCCTCTTTTTAAATTTATTTTTTGAGAGGTTTTTGCTATAGGGCGTGTGCGCTTGCCGGAAAGACAGAGAGACAGAAAGCAAGAAAGCACCCCCCAGAGGGGATGGCCATGCTGCAATCCCTTCTCCTCCATTCTCCTCTTGGGATCTTGGGCACGCACGCACAGGTGTGCATGCCTGGCGTGAGTTTAAGCCACTGGGTCTGGGACTCGAACCGTGGTCGACTACATGGGAGTCCAGCAACATAGCCATTACACCACCCATTGGTCCCTCCCTCCTCTTTTTTTTTTTAAATAATTATTTATTTAATTTTATTTATTCATTCATTTATTTAAATTTGACCAGAGAGAGACATGAGAGAGAAAGTGAGAAAGCAAGCCACCAGGTCTGGGACTCAAACCGTGGTCCCAGCACCTTAACCACCACACCACCTGCTGGTCCCCATCCCCTCCTCTGTTTTAAAAATTATTTAATTGTATTATTATTGTTCTTACCTATTTATTTTTTCTTTTTTGAAAAGATTTTTGCTATACGGCACATGCGCTCACCAGAAGGACAGAAACAGAAAGCAAGAAATCACCCCCCAAGGGGGATGGCCATGCCACAATCCCTTCTCCTCTATTCTCTTGGGATCTTGGGCATGCATGTACACATGTCCGGTGTGAATTTAAGCCACTGGGTCCAGGACTTGAACCATGGTCGACTATATGGGAGTCCAGCGACATAGCCATTACACCAACTGCTGGTCGCAGTTATTATTTTTTAATTTGATGAGAGAGAGAAAGGGAAAATGAGAAAGCAAGCCACCAAGTCTGAGACTCAAACCACAGTTGACCATGTGGGAGTCCAGCACCCCATCCACCACATCACCTGCTGACCCGCCCCCCGCTTTTTCAATGCCCTTAAATTCTTGTCCACACCTTCCTGGGCAAAGTCAGGGCTCTGGTTGAGAAGGGAAGGACAGTAATAGTTGCGTGCTTCCTCTCAAGGTGGGGTCAGAGGGAAAGAATGTCTGGCCCAGGACAGCCCTGTTGGGGATGGGTAGACACTGGAGAGTCCAGGGCATGGCGTGGGGACAGTGACTTGTCAGTCATTACCTGCAATTGATGCTTGAGAGGATGCCCAGGAAGGCAGCTGACCTAGGCAGGATGGGCATCTTCCAGGTTGCACTAAAGACCTATTCCTGGTGGGGCCCACCCCTGTCCCCGCTTGAACAGACTTACAGTGGTGCTTCGATTCCCAGTTTAGGATGGAGGAGCCCCTGGGGGTAGGTACTCCAAGGACCCTCCACTTCCACCCCAGAAAGTTCTCTTTGCTGCCCCCCTTTCCTTGCAGAGTGGTGAAGGAGGAGATCTCAGATGACAATGCCAAGCTACCCTGCTTCAATGGCCGGGTGGTGTCCTGGGTAAGGGGACCCCGGCGTTCATCCCCTGCTGGGCGGAGGGTGGGGGCACTGTGAGATCGCAGCCTCGCTCTCCCAGGCTGCCTTCCCATCCTACTGAGCTGCTCCTCACCCAGACTCTAGCCTCTGGAATGTGGGAGAGTAGGAGAGTGGGGGACAGCACCGGGCAGAGCCACGATGCGATGCCTCCATGCCCTTTGAGACACCCGCCTGGGTGCTCCTGTTGCCTGCGGACCTCTGCTCACTGCTTCACCAGCCCCCATCCGACCGGGCAGCAGGTCCACTCCCAGCTGCTCCCGCACACCTCTGTCTCTTCTCCCCACGCCTCTGCCCTGGGCCCCTTCCCGGTGCGGTAACATAGGGTACCCACTTGCTTCCCCTGTTAGCTGGTGTCGGCTGAGGGCTCACACCCAGAGCCAGCCCCCTTCTGTGCTGACAACCCATCGGAGCTGCCGCCACCTCTGGAGCGGACAGGAGGCATCGGGGACTCCCGACCCCCATCCTTCCAGTGAGTGGGACCTGAGGGTGGGGAGGGCCGTGGGGGAGGGCCCGTCAGCTCAGCCCTGGGCTGGGGGAGGGAGCCCCCAGCCTGCTCCCTCCCCCACCAAGTCCTCTCTTTCCCGCAGCCCGCATGCTGGTGGGGGCAGCCAGGAGAACCTGGACAATGACACAGAGACGGACTCCTTGGTGTCTGCCCAGCGAGAGCGGCCACGCCGGAGGGACGGCCCAGAGCATGGTGTGTCTGCCCTGGACAGGGCCGACTTCCCAGCCAGATACCTGCCCGTCTGTCCTTCCCAGGCCAGGGTGCAGCCCGGGCCCGCCCTCTCTCCTCCCTTTGCTCCTGCCTCGGCACCTCCTGCCTCGGCACCGGGAACCCAGCTGCCTCCCTCCCCTGCAGCAACCCGGCTAAATGGAGCTGCGAAGGGGGAGCGGCGGCGAGAACCGGGAGGTTACGATAGCTCGTCCACCCTTATGAGCAGCGAGTTGGAGACCACCAGCTTCTTTGACTCCGACGAGGACGACTCCACCAGCAGGTGGGGCTCTGGTTCCGTGGGCACAGTGGGCAGGGGCCTTGAGGAGCCCTGAGCCCCGGGGAGGCTGGCCCGGGAGGGATGTGGCTTTTGCGGGACCTGGGCCTGCAGGGCCTCCCATGGGGCAGGGCTGGGCCTGCTGGAGGGGAACGACTGTGGCCCCACAGGTTCAGCCGCTCCACAGAGCAGAGCAGAGCCTCTTGCCTCATGAGGAGAAACAA